TGCTGGATTTAGAGTTTTATATGTAAAGTGCTATTTTGTGTTGTTCAGATCTTTTGTATACTTACTAGTTTTACCCCTTCTGGGTCTCAGATTGGATTAAAATATTACCTGTTATATATGAGACAAATGTGTTAAAATTTACCACAGGAATAAATGCTTTTTTTTTTTTCTCCTTAGAATTCTGTTAGGTTTTGCTTTTTATATTTTGAAATTGTGTATGCACATTTGAAATTGAAGCTTCTTTGTTATTGACCCTCTTTAAGTTTAGTAATTCTTGCTGCCTACTTTGTACTTTGTTGAAAAATCAATATTGTTAGGATTTAAATTATATTTTTTATTTCATTCCTTTAATCATTTTGAAATTTAAACTTGAATATTTTTTAGTAAACGCCTAATAGCTTTATTTTTGTGATTATAGTTGTCTTGTGGAGTTAGTCTAGTAACATTTTTTGTAATTCCACTATTCTTATATGTATTTAAATTACTATATTCATTTTTGGTGACTTTCTTTACTCATTTCTGTTAGTTTGATAGGCTTTTCATATCTTTTTTTTAGCCCTCTAGACTGTTATACATTTTGTTGTTACTTGTTAATAATGAAATTTCAATAGCATATCATAATCCTCTTTTGTGTTTGTCCCCTTTTTCTTTATCCTATGACCTTCTTTCCTATTTTCCTCTCTTCACTTCTCCCCGTTTTTCTTTTTTGAGCTTGTATTTTTTGTTTTTATTCACCATTTCTATGTTTGCAGTGAAAGGTTAATTTGTCTTAGGACAGTTCACTATGTTGTTGGATCCATGATTGTTGATTATTTTAAAACAGTGGCTTGAAATGTTTAGTACTTTATTTATTAGAAGTGGATTACTATGACACAGGTTAGAGTATTCTGATACCATCATTTGAGAAGCATATCTAAATGGTGTTTTGTTGTTGTTTGCTTGGTTTTTTTTTTTTGTTTGTTTTGTTTTTTGTATAGGGAATTGTACTCAGAGGCACTTAACCACCGAGCCACATCCCTAGCCCTTTTTATTTATTTTGAGACTAGTCTTGCTAAAAGTTACTGAGAACCTGGCTAAGTTGCTGAAGCTGGCCTTGAATTTGCAATACTCCTGTCTCAGCCTGTACCATCACATCTGGTTTGTTTGTTTGGCTGTGCTGGGAATTGAACCCAGGGCATTGTGCATGCGAGGCAAGCACTCTACCAACTGAGCTATATCTCCAGCCCCCTGTTTCTTTGTTTTTAATGAATGAAGAAGAATGATGATACAAATTTGTTGAATTTTCAGTTTGGATTAGTTACTTTTATAGGGAAATATGCAATATCTGAACTTTAAAGTTAGGAAAGTTGACCTCTGTCCTTTGCAATTTTTAGTTACGTATGTTTTATAGTGCTCAAATGTCTTTTAAAATATGTAGTAGAAAATACATTTATGGTGAATTTCTTAGTTTCTTTAAAGAAATCCTAGCTCACAAATACTTCCAAAGTATTTCTGAAAATAGGGAAATTTTAAAAAATATTTATCTTTTAGTTGTAGTTGGACACAATACCTTTATTTTATTTATTTATTTTATGTGGTGCTGAGGATAGACCTCAGGGCCTCTCACGTGCTAGGCAAACGCTGTACCACTGAGCCACAACCCCAGCCCATGGGGAAAATTTTTGAGTTCTTAAACTCTTTTTGTTTTTAAAAGTATTGACCATCAGCTTGTTGCTACATGAAACACTTTCCCTAGATTAAAATTTTGAAGGGCATAAAAGAAGTTAAGGAATTCTTGATGCTCCTATAGACTAGCAGCATCTGTAGGAGAATAATAATAGGTCATATGATATAATTAGAACTCACTAAAAGTCATAGAAGCAGGAGAAACAGAATGGGTAAAAGGATGGGACTTAGTATTGGAGTTTAAAATTGGTGGAATTTTTTCCATAATCTTTTTTTTTTTACATTTCCTTCTTATTCCATTTTCCTTTCTTCTATTATTGTTTTGGAAGGAATTATTAGTAAAAAGGTAAAAACCCCATATATTTTGTCTACCTTGTTTGTCTTCTTCCCCCATCATATATATTTTGTGAATTGGTAAACAACAACAACAAAAAAACTTTTTTCTTTTGGTGCTGGAGATTGAACCCAGGGTGTTCTGCCATTGAGCCACATCCCCAGTACGTTTTATTTTTTAAAATTTTGAGACAGTGTCTCACTGAGTTGCTGAGGATCTACTTGTGTTACCCAGACTGGTCTGGAACTTGCTATCCTCCTGCCTCAGCCTCCTAACTTGTATTACAGCCATGCTCCACCATGCCTGCTCAAAAATATCTTAAGAGTTTTTACTTTGTAATAGTTCTTTACAAATAAATGTAGGGTAGAAATAAATTAGCCTAGTTTTGATCTGGTATGTTTTTTTATTAGCATTAGCAAGTATGTAGTTTCCAGGCTTTGTTAATATGCCATATGGGAAGGAAGTTAAGAGGCTATTTTGACTTCTTATGTCACATTGCAAAATCTTGGATTGACTCATGTTTTCTCTTGTTTTGTTTGGGTTTGTTATTGTTCTCATTTTCTTCTTTGTCCTGGGATGTTAATTGTGTTTAAAGCATTAAATTCAGGAAATCTAGATTGTAATTATAACAGTGTATTTCATTCTAATTTTATGTTCATTAAATTACTCTGAGGAATAAATCAGAATATAATATATATATATATATATATATATATATCTGTTATGTGTGTTTTGTTTTGATAATTCTATAAAATATATTAGACTAGTATTTGTTGACAGTTTTTGTACTGGCAGATAATAGGTAAATTACTAGTGGTCTTTTCTTATATTACATTGGAGGTCAAATAGCATTGAGGTTAAGAATATGAACACTAGATATAGGGTACCTAGTGTTTAAATCCTGACTTTGCTTCTTGCTAAGTAAGTTGCTTAAACTCTCTGTGTTTCCTTGCCTATAAAATAGGAATAAGGTACTCATTTCATAGTGTTGCTATGAGGACTATAGAATTTAAATTCTGTGAAGTACTTAGGCAAGTGTCCAGTGTTTAGGAAGCATTTAGTTTGTGTTAGCCTTTATGTTTTTGAGTTCTATGAAAAGTTTTAATGTAGTTACTGTGAACAGTTAAGAGAGGATCTGTGTGTTCTAATACAAATCAAGATAAAGTAGTGCTGTTTTGCTTATTAGTAGGTGATACAGTCTATATCAAGGTGACTATTTCCATTTTACAATATGAATGTAATAAAGTAAAAATAATTTATTTACATTATTCATAGTAAATCACATTTGATTATATATTGTTTGCTCAACACTGCTGCTTGAAACATTGTTATTCCTATAGGAGAAAATGTAGAGAATCCAAGGGAATAGAGGAGAGATGCATCCTTCCCTATGATTTGGACTGGCAAAGCAAAAGAGGAAGTCTAGGAAAAATTCCATAAATGAGATGTCACAAAAGACTTACAGGATACAATAATATGCAAAAGAGTGTTTAAAGTACTAGCTATATTTTGTTACTGTTTTTCTTTACTACAACTATTATTATTATTATAGCAGTGTTGGGGATTGAATTCAGGGCTTTGCATATGCTAGGCAAGTGCCCTAGCACTGAACCTCATCCCCAGTCCTATTTTACTTTATTTTTATCTATGATTGAAGCTAAAGCACGCCAAGAAACAGATTTTTCTTTTAAAAATTAAACAGATTTTTAAATTTAGTTAACAATTTAGTCTATTTACAATTTAGTTTATTCTTTCTTTCTTTTTTTTTACGAGACAGGATCTCCCTGTATTGCGCATGCTGGCCCCAAACTCCTGAGCTTAAGTGGTTCTCCTGCCTCAGCCTCTGGAGTAGCTGGGATTGCAGGCACTCTATTACACTGGGCCATCTTTATTTGATTTCTAGATTCAAAAATCTTTTTCATTGCTTTTTAGAACTTTTTTTTTTTTAGTTTTAAAATAAATAATGTGCTTTTTGTAAACAAATTGGAGTAGTAGGAAGTACATAAAGTACAAGTTCTCCATGCCCCTTTTTTCTTTAATATTTTCATTTCCCTTGAAAATGAACCAAACAATAGTAAAACCAGTCATGTTTCCTGGAGGCAACCAGTGCTAATAATTTGGCATCTTCTATGCATAACTACTTACAACTACATAGTTATTTTTAGAATAACAAATCCTATCTCTTTTGTTTGCATTCAAGACACTTTATAACATATCTCAAGGTTCTTTTTCAATTTTGCTTTTATTAAAAATGTACTAAACTCCAGCCAAATGAGTTGCTTTTGTACATCCTATCAAGCTTCATGCATTCCTCATTCTATATTTTTGTTTATGCCCATAATGATCTTTCTGTTCACTACCTCATGCCCAGTGTTCACTACTATGTCTGTTTCAGACTTGGCTTCTATTCTCACATTTATGCCTTACTGAGCTTTGAAAGCAATTTTGTGTTTCTGAAGTACTTTGTCATTTCACTTTCAGTATTCTATTGTGCATATAGTTGTATGTTCAGTTTTGCATGCTATTTACTATACTGACAATTTGTTGGAGAGCAGTACTGTGTTTGAACTTTATAATAAAGTGCTTATTTTCAAAATTTATTGTTTGGTACCTATTCACTAATAAATGTATTTCAGATGTCATAAGTTATTCTTAGAAACAATTCTTTAAACTGTTTTGGTGAGAAGTTATAAATGTAGTGTGGAATTGAAAATAGACCTAAACTTCTTTTTTAGAGATGGTGAATGATTTTGAATAAGTCTCTCTGAAGATACTGTTTTAAGAAGCAGATTATGATGATTTGATCAGTTTTTTTAATTACACCTAAAATATGTGAAGACTAAAATTGTGAAAACAAAGGTATAGACAAATATGTTTCTCAAATATTTAATAAGATAGAATTTTTGGAGCAATTCTTTGATGGAAACTTGAATATATTTGTTAAATGTGATTTAACTTTTATGGACATAGTAATCACGAAAAACTTTAATTTTTTTTTCAGAGAATGCAGAATCTATCGATCTTAAACAATTTTTTGACCAACATTTTTCACATATATACTATGTGTTCTTTGAAAATTTTGTGACTATTGAAGCTAGTCTTAAACAGAAAGGTAAGATGTTAACATATATTTTGGCTTATGTTGATGTTTTCAATAATTATCATAACTTAAAAAGAGGCTCTTGGACTTCAGGATTTTACTATTACTTTATTTATTTATTTTTATCAGACAGGTTTTTGTTATCCTTCTCACATATTCTTTCTGGGTCTAGTGACGTGAATTTGAAAGAAAACTAATGGGTTAATATTACTACCCTTATTATTTCATGAAGGCTTAGATTTGCTTTTTCTCTGGTCAGGTTTATGTTTCTCCTTCCTATTTTCTTTGTTTTGCCCAATATGTTTGAATATCATTTTTATATTTTCATTTTTTGCAACTCATCTAAAGTTTCTACAACATACGATGATTTATTTTTAGACATAAATATGTAGAACCCACTTTTAAGGGGAAGGGTCTTGGAGATTGAACCCAGGATCTCACACATACTAGCAGGTGCTCTGCCACTGACCTATAGCTCTAACCCTAGAACGTAAATTTAATTACTCAAGAGTAGAGAGATGCTGTGAATAGTGTCTTCTCAGTAAGTGGAGTGTGCTTTAAATATTTTACTAAAGAATCACTGAAAAAACTCTTGAAATATTTATTTATTTACCGAGGATTGAACCCAGGGGTGCTTAATCACTGAGCCACATCCCCAGCCCTTTTTATTTTTTATTTTGAGATAGGGTCTCTCAAAGTTGCTTAGAGTCTCACTAAATTGCTGAGACTGGCTTTGAACTTGGCTGTCTTCCTGACTCAGCCTCTCGAGCTGCTGGGATTATGGCCATGCACCACTATGCCTGGCGAGTGCTTGAAATATCGGTAGAGCGCTCGCCTTGCACATGCAAGGTCCTGGGTTTGATCCTCAGCACCACATAAAAATAAATAAATAAAAGTTATTGTTAAAAAAAAAGAAATATTTTAAGCTTATTAAGTGATTGTTATTTAATGAGTACAAAATAATATGCATATTTTTTCTATAAAATATATTAGGTCACAAGTCTCAAAGAGAGGAATTGGATGCTATACTTTTTATTTTTGAGGTAAGTACCTATGAATATAACTTTATTTATTTTTTTAAATGTTTATTTTTTAGTTGTAGTTGGACACAATACCTTCATTTTTTATTTATTTATTTTTATGTGGTGCTGAGGATCGAACCCAGGGCCGCACTTGTGCGAGATGAGTGCTCTAACGCTGAGCCACAACTCCACCCTATTTTTTTTTTAATATTTATGTTTTAGAAGTAGTTGGACAGAATACCTTTATTTTATTTATTTATTTTTATGTGGTGCTGAGGATCAAACCCAGGGCCTCGCACATGCTAGATGAGCACTCTACCGCTAAGCCACAATCTCAGCCCCACGAATATAACTTTAATTAACAAAAAAATAATCTGGGAACATAAAGAAATATATCGAAATTATCAGGTATATGATGAACCACTGTGAATCTGCCAGCGTTTTTGAAGAACTAATGACTTTTTAACCCATAAATATTCCTGATTGCTATAATTTTTGAATTCTTTAGGTACAGATAGATTTATGTTTTTATGTACTTGACACCACAAAATTAGCATGATATTCATTGTGTTTGCAACTAGTAAAATTTTTAATTTGTGTAAGATTTACACAAACATTTTTCTAAACTTCAGAACCATAACTGTTATATATCTATCTGTATATCATTTCTGCTTTAACGACTTTTCATTGCAGAGGTGTTCAAAATAGTCTTTATATATTTTTAAAGTTGTTATTTTACTTTGAATTGGAGAGGGGGAAGCATTTATAAACAATCAAAAGGAAACAGCTTGGAGATAAACTGAACAAAATTTGATGCTCTGCTAAAATGTGTTTTCCATTTTCAGTGTGCACATAAAAATGAAGACCTTTCCCCCACTTAAAATAACTCCTTGTTCTTTATTCTCTCTTTCAAAGAAAATAGTCATAGGAGTATTGTGATCTTTACTGATGATTCAGAGACCTGTAGAAAACCAGGACTAGATTTGTGACTTGAAAGCCATAGGAAAGAATTTAAAAATCAGTTTCTAGATGGCTGTGGTGAGGTGCATCTAAATCCCAGCTTCTTGGGAGGTTGAGGTAGGAGGATTACTTGAGCCCAGAAGTTTGAGGCCAACCAACGTAGCAACATCCTGTCTCTAAAAAAATTTTTTAAATAAATAAATTTAAACTATTTTGTCTGTTTCCAATTAAAGATAATTTATTGTTTAGTATTTTGAGTATTTTGATATGGTGTAGAAGAATTTGAACAACCTGATTAATCTCTTTTAGCAACTAAGCTGTTGATTTAGTCACAGTTAAAAAATTAAAAAAAAAAAAAAGAAAATTGATTTTTTAAGAGTTCCAGACAACAACAACTGATATTCTGCAATTAATTTTCATTAGTCATTGAAGCCTGGAGAATTTAACTTAAACCTCCCAAGTGTTCATGTGAATTGTTTATAAGGCGAGTATTAACATTGACATTTTGAGAAAGAATAAAAGTATCCATAGAGAAAGCAAGGTAATGATTCTTAAAAAGGATTCTTTGGAATATTCATGCTTGTCCTATATTCATTAGGAGTTCTGATTGATGAATTAATAGAAGCACTTTCAGAGCATTCCTTCTATTAAAAATAATGTTTTTCTATGTATGATATACACAGTTCATTTGTTATTCTGTAATAGAAATATGTTTTTTAAAAAGACACTAAATTTTATTGGAAAAAACATGTGAGATCAGGTTTTGTTTTACTTCTTTTTCATTTTTGTGAACATGTGCTAGAGATTGAATCCAGGGCCTAATGCATGCTAAGCACCTCGTACTCTGTCACTGAGCTATATCCCCATTTCTAGTGTTTTCTTCTTTGTTGTTATTGTTTTCTTATACTGTCTCTCTGTTTGGAGACAAATGACGGGAAAAATCATAAGGTGATTTATTCTTTCAGGCTAAAAAGCATTATTATATAATGTTAATATGGGCAATTTATATTCAAAAATTTTTACAGTAGTTAAAAGCACATGTAATTTCCTTCATCTTTTATTAGCCCCTTAAAAATACATAAGGGGTTATATCTGAAGTATAATTTGCCATAACTTAGGAATGCTTTTGAGTAGCTCACAAACTTCATTTCAATTTTGCTATATTTTCATTTCTTTCCATACCAAAATAAATAAGATTGTGTAGTTGTTGGCTAGCTGTGGGAGACATACAGGAAGGATAAAGGTTTTATGTGTGTGTGTGTGTGTGTGTGTGTATGCACACACACATATATAAATAAATAAAAATCTGATGTGAAACCAGCATTTGTATATGTGAAGAACTTTATAATTACTTCATCATTCTGTAATAGCCTAAAATGCATACCATCCTTTGATCAAAATAGTATAAAGACACAGGTTTGGGAAATAGGCATTTGAGGTTGGAATCTGTTCTTTGACTTTCTAGCTTTGTAACCTATAGCTTACAACATAACCCATTTTCTGATTGGTTAATTGAGATGAATAAACCCTTTTCTTGAGATGATTGCAATGATTAATGAGATATCATTAAATAAAGTGTCTACTTTAGTATTTGGTCCTTAGGAGCATTGAATCAGTGGTGTTGCTAAATAATAGTAGTAATAAGAACAGCAATAATAACAAAAACATTTTATTTAGCAAGTAGATGATGACTCAGAGTATAGTTCAGCAATAAGATAGCTGTTGACTTAAGAGTAATACATACTAAGAGAAATAAGTAATACATAATAAAAGAAATAAGAGGTAAAATATTGAAAGTATTATATGTAAAAAGTATGTATTCTATATGTGTTAGATACTGTATTATATATATTATATACTGTATATATTAGCTTAACTAATAATAAGGCTATGAAATTTAAAATTTTTGTTTTTATATTTAGATCCATCATGACATGTGGGTTCACATGAATTCACTCAGTACAAAGAATTTGTTTTTCTTCCTTCCTTCCTACCTTCTTTCTTTGTCTTTTGTCTTTTGTGGTTTTTTTTTTTTTTTTTTCAGTGCTAGGGATTGAACTCGTGACCTCAAACACACTAAGCATGTGCTTTACCCACTGAGCTACAACCCCAACTCAGTACAAATATATTTCATTAAAGCAAAATATTACCATACTAGATTTATCAAAATGTTATAGGAAAAACACTTGAAGAAAGAAAAAACTACAAATATTAATGTCTTAAAGAATTAAAAACTCATTAATGTTATCCACAATGCAGAAATTCTAGGAATAGTAAATAAGCATTTTGAAGTATATTGGAATTAGTATTTGGGGCTGGGGTTGTGGCTCAGTGGTAGAGTGCTTGCCTAGCATATGTGAGGCACTGGGTTCGATTCTCAGCACCATATATAAATAAATAAATGAATAAAGGTTCATCAATAACTAATAAAAATTTTAAAAACAAAAAAGAATTAGTATTTAATCATTATCGAAAAATATACTTACTTTCTGTAACATTATAAAAAATAAATTTCACTGATTTTCTATTCTAAAACTTTGTTAGTATTGCTGGTTTTTTATGGGGATTTTCAAATATTGATCAAGATGTTAATAATGCTAAAGAATGCTAGCACCATCAGATTAGTTCAGAGCTATTTTCTTTTTTGTGTGTAATTTTTAAAATTTATATATGACAGCAGAATGTATAACAATTCTTATTACATATAGAGAGCACAATTTTTCATATCTCTGGTTTTGTACATAGTATATTCATACCAATTCATGTCTTCATACATGTACTTTGGATAGTAATGATCATCACATTTCACCATCATTAATTACCCCATGCTTCCTCCCTTCCCTTCCAACCCCACTGCCCTATCTAGAGTTTGTCTATTCCTCCCATGTTCCCGCTCCCTATCCCACTATGAATCAGCCTCCTTATATCAAAGAAAACATTCAGCATTTGTTTTTTTTTTTTGGATTGGCTAACTTCACTTAGCATGATCTTCTCTAACTCTGTCCATTTACCTGCAAATGCTATGATTTTATTCTCTTTTATTGTTGAGTAATATTCCATTGTGTATATATGCCAGATTTTTTTTTATTCATTCATCTATTGAAGGGCATCTAGGTTGGTTCCACAGTTTAGCTATTGTGAATTGTGCTGTTATATACATTGATGTGGCTGTGTCACTGCATTATGCTGTTTTTAAGTCCTTTGGGAGAGGAGAGGGATAGCTAGGTCAAATGGTGGTTCCATTCCCAATTTTCCAAACTGCTTTACATATTGGCTGCACCACTTTGCAGTTCCACCAGCAGTGTATGAGTATACCTTTTCTTCTCCACATCCTTGCCAACACTTACTGTTGTTTGTATGCGTAATAGCTGCCACTCTGACTGGCATAAGATGAAATCTTGGAGTGGTTTTAATTTGCATTTCTCTAATTGCTAGTGATGATGAACATTTTTTCATGTATTTGTTGATTGATCGTTCATCATCTTCTGAGAAGTGTCTGTTCAGGTCCTTGGCCCATTTATTGATTGGGTTATTTGTTTTTTTTGGTGTTTAGCTTTTTGAATTCTTTATATACCCTAGTGATTAGTGCTCTATCTGATGTGTGAGGGATAAAGATTTGCTCCCAAGATGTAGGCTCTCTATTTACCTCACAGATTGTTTCTTTTGCTGGGAAGAAGCTTTTTAGTTTGAGTCCATCCTATTTATTGATTCCTGATTTTTTTTTTTTAGAGAGAGAGAGAGAATTTTTTAATATTTATTTTTTGGTTTTCGGCGGACACAACATCTTTGTTTGTATGTGGTGCTGAGGATCTAACCCGGGCTGCACGCATGCCAGGCGAGCGCGCTACTGCTTGAGCCACATCCCCAGCCCTGATTCTTGATTTTAATTCTTGTGCCACAGGAGTCTTATCAGAGCTATTTTCTATTTGTAATACTTTCACATAAGAAACTCTTCAGGGTTTAATAAGCCCTTTAATATTTCATTTTTCATAGGATGTAGAATCATTATTTGATTTTTGTTCTTTTCTTTGTTTTGTTCATATTGATTTTCAGAAAATTTTACAACTTCTTCCGGAAAGAATTCATCAGCGATGGCAGTTTCATAGTATTGGTAAGTGTATATTTTTGCATTTGAAAAAATAATGATATATGAATATGTTTTTTAATGGTTTGGCAGTTTTTTGAAATGAATTTATACTTCATGCTTTGCTAAAAACAAAATAAAGGATACAGGAATAGGTTGACTAGTAGTATAAAATAAAAAAGATAGGTGAGGGACTAGGGATGTAACTTACTAGTTGAGAGTGTGCTTTACATACATGCACTACTTTAATTCCTATCATCCTTCCCACATTAATTTGTTTGTTTATGATTTCCCATCAAAATGGGCATAGTAAATTTTTGAATCACTCTCTTCCTTTACTCTGAATACATTAGCAATGATAAAGGGATAAAAAATTTAAAAAAGGCCCAGCATCAAGACAAATATTTCCATGAATCAGAATGGAAGAGGAATGTTGAGCACCTAGAAGAAAGAAAGCTATACGCTCCAGATTTGAAAACAAGTGATGTGAATTTGGAGTTCGCTCCACTAGGGAAAAAAATATAAAAAAGATGAGGGAACTGGAGTTAAGCTTAAAGGGCCAAAATACAGCTTCACAGCTCATGAACTAAATCTGAAGATAAAAAGAAATAACAACAAAAATCCTCTTATCTGGAATTAGGCCAAAAATGCTTGCTGGTTTGGTGTCGTTCTGCAACAAGCACAGTATCACTACCTGGCTCTTAAGCTCTCATTATAAAACTTAGTATTCTCCCTTTATATTAAAAAGAAGAAGGGAAAAGGAGTCTACAGGTAGGCATTTGGCTTTAGTTCAGTGTTTGATGATGTTAGCCTTGATTGCTGGGGATTCTCATGCTGTTCTCTCATGGAGAGTACATAGTCATTAGGTCTATATTGTTGAAGTACAATGCTGTAGACCTTATAATTATTTATAAAAATTTCCTTCTCTTTTTAAAAAAGAGTCATAGAAGAGGCCCCACATTTCTTAATGAGTTCTGTCAAATGAAATCTTTGCTGAGGCTTTGAATAAGTAGGCTATCCCAGTTAGCAGTTCCAGTAGCAAAGGAATCTGGACAGATAGAGGGGACTTGATGCCCTAACTAAAAAAAAAAAAAAAAGACCTAAATATGTAAAGCCTGTTAAAATACATTTGTTAGATAAATTTTGAAGCATAGGTTGGGATTTTAGCTCAGTCATAGAGCACTTGCCTAATGTATATGTGGCCCTGGGTTCAATCCCCACCACTGCCAAAAATAGATGAAAAAATTTGAGACTATGATATTCCTGTTCTTTATATGAAATATATAGATACTTCATATATAAGGAACTCTTACAACACAATATATTCAAAATATAAGAATAGGCAAAAGATTTGAATAGACATTACACCGAAGATGAAATGAAGTACTAATGAGCACATAAGTTGTTCAATACAGTAGTGGAATCCCATTTTATAATTCATAGTCATAAAACATCCTTGAAGGCTGTCTATAAAGAAACTTTTTAAGACATCTGAACTTCAAAATTTATTGTATTTCCTGAGTAATGTAGCCTTTAATCTCTAAAGGACCTTTAGGCTACTTAGGTATCATGATTAAAAGTAGTTTAAAAATGTCTGTAACTTGAGAAAATTCATAAATTGTCATTTTTCTTTGTCACTCAGAATTCTACAGCTGTTTACTTTCTTTTTTGTCTTGTGTATTAAGAAAAATAAATCCATGACTTCAGTTGAAATGTTTGTTTTCTTTTTGCGGTGCTGGGGATTGAACCCAGAGCACCACATGCTAGGCAAGTGCTTTACCATTGAACTATACCATCAGATCTCTAGTTGATTTTTAACAAGTAGTTTTGTTGACATATAATTTATGTAGATAAAATTTATTTACTTAAGTAAACATTTCAGTTATTTTTTTGGTAAATATATATGGTCATTAAAGCGAGTTTTAGAAAGTTTCTGTCACCCTCTAATGTCCTTCATGCTCATTTGTAGTCAGTTGCTATTCCTACCACCAGGCCGTTTTCTGTTCTAGATAAACTTGTCTTATTTTAGATATTTCATATGAATGAAATTATCCAATATTTTGTCATTTGTATGTGGCTTCTTTCACTTAGCATAATTTTTTTGTTTTATCCATAACATATACCAGTATTCCTTTTTATTACTACATAGTATTCTTTTTTTTAATTTTAATTTTTTATTAGTTGCTCAAGACAATACAATGATCTTGACATATCATACATTTGATTCAAATGGGATATTCTATCATGTGGATACCCCATATATTTTTCTTTTCAACCAGTTAATAGGCATTTGTTTGCTAGCTCTCTTTCTTTTTGTTAATTCCTTTGGATTTGGAGTTCTATAGTATTACTGTGAATTAAAGACAATTTTTACTTCTAATATGATGTCTTTAATTTTTCTTTCTTTTTTGTTTATTGTACTTCCAGTACAGTGTTAAATAAAAGCAGCAGTAGTGGTCATCCAAGCTGGGCACTGTGGCACATGCCAGTAATCCCAGTGGCTCAAGAGACTCACTTCAGCAATTTAGTGAGGCCCTAAGCAACTCAGTGAGGCCCTGTCTCTAATAAAATAGAAAAAATTGATGGGGATGTGGCTTAATGATTAAATGCCCCCTGTGTTCAATCCCCAATACCCCCCCCCCCCAAAAAAAAAGAGTGGTCATCCATGCATCATTATTCCATATTTTAGAGAGAAAACAGTTTTTTACCATTATTGTAACATGTTAACTAACTATAGTTTTTTGTAGATGTCTTTTGTTACGTTGAGGAAGTTACCTTCTATTCCCAGTTTATTGAGGTTTTTTTGTTTGTTTGATGCCAGGAATTGAGCCCAGGAGTGCTTAACCACTCAGTCACATCCCCAGTCCTATTTTTTTTTTTTTTTTTTTTTGAGACAGGGTCTCTCTGAATTGCTTAGACCCTCACTAAGTTGATGAGGCTGGCTTTGAACTCATGATCCTCCTGCCTCAACCTCCCATGTAGCTGGGATTACAGGTGTGTATCACTGCTCCCAGCCCAGTTTATTTTTTTAATACCTTTATTTATTTATTTATTTGCTTGTGTGTTTTTTTTTTTTAATTTTTTTTAATTTTTATGTGGTGCTGAGGATTGACCCTATGCCTCAGGTGTGCTGGGCAAGCACTCTACCACTGACCCACAACCTCAGCTCCCAGTTTATTTGAGTTTTTAACCATGAACGGGCGTTGCATTTTGTCAAGCACTTTTTTATGCATCTGTTGGTATGATCATTGTCCATACCATCTGTGATTTTGTCATTTATTCTATTAGTATTATATATTTCACTAATTGAATAACATGCCAAATCAATCTTGCATCTCATTTGGTTACCATTTTTAGTCTTTTTTATATGTTGCTAAATTCACTTTGCTAATAATCTATTAAAGCTTTTTTGCCTCTATGTTTATGAGGGATATTATTGTGTAGTTTTGTTTTTGTTTTCTTTTTCTTTTGGTACTAGGGATTGAACCCAGGGTTGCTTCACCACTGAGCCACATCCCCATCCCTTTTTATATTTTACTTAGAGCAGGGACTTGCTGAGTTGCTTAGGGCCTCACTAAATTGCTGAGACTGACTTTGAACTTGTGATCCTTCTGCCTCAAACTCCAAAGTTGATGGTATTACAGATGTGCACCATCACACCCAGCTATAGTTTCCTTGTCATGTCCTTGTCACTTTAATGTCAATATAAAATAGCCTCATAGATACATTGGAGAGTGGTTCCTCTGCTGTTTTCTTAAGAGCAATAATATTTCTCTTTCTTTTTTGGGGGTGTTTGGATACCGTGGATTGAACTCAGGGGTACTTGACCACTGAGCCAAATCCCCAGCCTTGTTTTGTATTTTATTTAGAGACAGGGTCTTAATGAGTTGCTTAGGGCTTTGCTAAATTGCTGAGGCTGGCTTTGAACTCACAATCCCTCTGCCTCAGTTTCCCGAGTTGCTGGAATTACAGGGGTGCACCACCATTCCCAGCTTCTTTCATGATATCGAACTGAATTCATTTCTGGTCAGAAGATATAGTTTGGGGAGCTGGGGCTGTATGTAGCTCAGTGGTAGAATGCTTGCCTTGCATGTATGAGGCACTGGGTTTGATCCTCAGCACCACATATAAATAAATAAGAAAGAAAGAAGATATAGTTTGGATGATTTGAATCTTTTTAAAGTTATTGAGGCACATTGAAGCCCAGAATATAGTCATTCTTCACTTGAGAAATTAACTTATGGCAATGGTGTGATTATTAAAAAAACAAAGAAAAGACTTGAATAAATGGAATCTTTTGTGATATTCATGAGTGATAATATAAAGATAACAATTCTCATTTAAAATTCTTGTAGGGATTTTTAAGTGTGGCCTGACAAGTTTATTTTAAAATTTAAATGGGAAATCAAGGACAAAGCAATTTGGAAGAATAAAAAAATTGGAGAAAGATGGTGTTATTGGGTATTTCCAAACCTACTAACAAGATGTAAATTTATAGTAATAATAACACTGTCAGTAGTGCAGGGACAGACAAGTAGATAACTAAAAAAGAACATTGCAGTCAAAGACCTTGGCTTATTTATGTGTACATTTGAAATATTATTGAGATGACATTTCATTTTATTTGAAAATAGTAAACCTGAAAGAGTTAGTACTACAATTAGTTGACCATTTTGATGGGAGTGGAATTCTGTTCCTTCCACACACAGAAATAAATTTCTGGTGGATTTCAGGACTGAAATGTGAAAAGCAACACTTTATTTTTTTTATATTTTATGGTACTGGGGATTGAACCTGAGACACTCTTACCATTGAGCTACATCCTTAGTCCTTTTTTAAATTTTTTACTTTGAGACAGGGTCTCACTAAATTGCCCAGGCTGTTCTTGAACCTGCAATCCTTTTGTCTTCACTTCATGAGTAACTGAGATTATAGGAGTGCACCACTGCATCCAGGGAAAAGTAAAACTTTAAAATTTTTTGTTGCTGAGCTGGAGATGAAACCCAGGATCTTATGTATTCTTGGTAAGCGTTCTACTGTTGAGCTACATCCCACCACATTTTAAAGCTTTTCAGAGAATATTTTGGTTTATCTTTTAACCCTAAAATAGGGAAGGATATCTTAGACATACAAAGTGCATGTGGAAAGAAAAACATTGAGCCGGATGTAGTGGTGTGTAACTGTAATACCAGATACTCAGGAGGCTGAGGCAGGACAATCACAAATTTAAGGCCAGATTGGAAAATTTAGTGGAAAAAAAAAATAAATGGGGGCTGGGGATGTGGCTCAAGCGGTAGCGCGCACGCCTGGCATGCGTGTGGCCTGGGTTCGATCCTCAGCACCACACAAAGATGTTGTGTCCACCAAAAACTAAAATACATAAATAAATAAATAAATTCTCTCTCTCTCTCTCTCTTTCTGTCTTTCAAAAAAAAAATAAATGGATGGATGGATAGATAGATATATAAATAAATAAATAAAAGAAAAGGACTGGGGGTGTAGTTCAATGGTAGAGTTCCTCTGGGTTTACTCCCCAGTACCAAAAGAAAAACATTCGTGAATTGATTATATTAAAATTTTAAAACTATTTATATATTAGAAAATAGCCCCCTTCAACAAAAACATGACTCAGTTGCTTAGGAGAAGATATTTCCAAATCATAGAACTGGCAGAGATTTAGTAGTCAGTATGTAATGTATAAAAGAATTCCTCATTTAAAGAAAAGACAGCTGGTGTTTGTTACATGCCTGTAGTCCCAGTGACTTGGGAGGCTGAAGTAGAAGGATCGAAAGTTTAAAGTCAGCCTGGACAATTTCGTGAGACCTTGTGTCAAAATAAAAAGGAATGGGGATGTAGCTCAGTAGTAAAGTCCCCCTGGGTTCATCGCTAGTGGGTGGCAGGGGATTGGGTGTGGGGGAGACAACCCAACTGAAAAAATGTACAAAGGATAGACAAGCATTTTGCAAAAACTTGACTGGCCATGTAAAAAGATGTTTAACATCTTTAGGAAACATCAAATGAAAACATTAAGATATTTAACACTTGTCAGATTATCAAACATTAGAACATTTGTCAATCTGTCTCCAAAGCCAACAATGTGACATACCAGAGCACTCTCATATACGCCAGTAGTATTGTTAATTGTCAGAGTTATTTCTGAGAGAATTTTCTAATATTTGGGAAAGTTGAAAGTGAGTAATTTTGTGTGTGTATGTGTCTCTAATAAATGATATTTAATTGTAATAATAATTGCACTTACACACACACACACACACACACACACCCTGAGGAAAGTCACATGTATACAGGGCATCATGCACACAACATTTATTATAATATTCTTGGTAGTATGAAAAATTTGAAAACAAGCCAAATGTCCTGATATATAGAAGATAAATTGTGGTATATTTGTTTAGTGGAAAAAGTATACAGCAGTTAAAAATGAATTAACTAGAGCTACATAGATCAGTATAGAGCAGTTTTAGAAGCTAATGTTAGGTATGAAAATTGACTTATAAATGACTTATTTGTATGGTACCATTTATAAGGTCTGAAACCAATTTAAATTTTTATGAATTTATAAATAATAATGTAAAAATATTTTTTAGAAATAATGCTAAATTCTACGTAGTAGTTTCCTCTGGGGAAGAAGGGAAGCAAATGATTAGGTTTCACTGAAACCTACATGGTTCAGTGAAATATTAAAGATAATGAAAATAAATGAAATTTATAAATTGTAATAAATGTAGAGAAATGTTCAGATTTGTTCAAACTTGATGATCTTCTAGTTGTTTGTTAATGTTATTTTCAGTATTTTATTATATGTTTTCAATTTGCTGCTTAACTAGGGCATTGAGAATCTTATTGACCAAATAAAAAAGATATTCAATGTCCCTAGCAAACATCAAATGAAGACATTCAGATATTTAACACTCATCAGATTATCAAATATTAGAACATCTGTCATAGTTTAAAAGAAATAGGAATATTAAAGGCTTTTTGAAACTAACATAAGAAAATTAGTGTAATAGAAATATTTGTAAGGAAATATTAGACTTTTGGGTTTCTATTTGGTTAATTAAATGAAAATTTTCTGTAGTAGACTTTATTTGTATTAGTGATAGAGAAAGTATTTAATTCCATTCTTAGTCTAAGGTATATAACAGATTGTTGTTCTAAACACAATATTGGGTCTAGGTTTTTTTTTTTTCAATAAAATAAATGATGTTTAATTGTAATAAACCATGTGTTAGAAAGGTAATATGTATATATGTAATTTTTTTAATGTCTCTCTGGCCTCAGTTTTGGCCAGAGGGATATCAAAGTCACTAAGAATAATTTAGAGGTTGCCAAGGACTTGTTTAAAAGTTTTTTTAAGTCTGACCAAGAACTCTGACATTTAGAAATAGATAAGGAGACGTGAATATTTAAAATCATGTGTGTGGTTTTTTTTTTCTAGGATTGATTTTAAAGAAGCTACTTCACACAGGAAATTCCTTAAAGGTATAATATAATTTTATTTATGTTTTATTACTTTAAAAAAAAACTGAATAAAGCATACATACTACCTACTCCGTTTTTCCTACTTCATCTTTTCTTGAAGATTATTGAGGTATCTTACTTGAATTGAATTTACTTAATACTAAATGTGTACCTACATTTTATGTGTGAAAATAAATATTAATTAGCTTGAGCTAGGGCATTGAGAAGCTATTGTATTTGACATCTGCATTGATTCATTTACCAGAAAATTATTTAGCTATTCAACAAATTATTTTTCATTTTACCATAGTCATTTTTAGTTGTAGAAAATATGTACATACATATATTTGTGTTTGTGTGTGTGTACATGTATACACTCACAAACATCAATCATACATACACACACACACACACACATATTGGTTTCATTTCTTTTTCGTTAACTGACTGTGGTATGTTAAGAGAAGCTGCCCATTCCAAAAGCATCTTGCTGTAAGTTAGGTAAAGTCACACATTATAAAATGTACTTTTGATATCAAGGCTTGTGTACAAGCAGTACAGAGAAATAAGCCTTCTTAATATGTTTCTCCTTTTATCTGACTGGGCTGTGAGGTTTAGCCTCATGGCAGCAGTTGAATGATTTTGTCAGTGGCTATTAACAAAGGTCTGATAGTGTAATTTCCAAATCGACCTGTGTGGTTAGGTTAGTGAAGCACTGTTGTTTTGTACTTGTCAGAGATTTAATTTTCTTGTCTTTCTGTTTTCTTACTGGGAGAGTGTTCATTTACTGATTCAAATACTTATTGTCTTCTTTGTATAAATATTGTTTTAGGTGCCTAGATATATTAATAGGCCAAAGTTCCTGATACGTAGCTTAGAAGCAAATAACAAATAAGTGAGATAATTTCAGAGAGCTTTTAAATACTTTTTATTTTATAATTTTACTTTTAGTATTTTTAATTTTAATAATTTCAGAACTTTTTAGGGAGAGGAGCATTGAGTTAGCAGTGCACTGAGATTCTTTTTACTATTCGTCTTTTATCAGACTCATAGTAAGGAACAATCATTGCCTTGTCTCTTTGTGCTTCTTGGATTAGAATAGTAGTGATACGCAAAAGGGAAGAAGAAAAGTGTAAAGGAGGAAATGGTTTTCTAACATTTTTCACAAATGGAAGTTATGGAATAAAAATTACATAATGGTTTTAAATAGAGACTAAGTTCATTCTTTACTCATTAAAAATTCATGAATTTTGATTAAAAATGAGAGTTCAGTAGATGTCCTGGTAATAATATCTATCTACCTCGCCCTCCCTTTCTCTTTTGTAAAATGTCATTCTGTAATCACCTAGAGAGCTATATTCTAAAAAAGAAAGTATTTCTATTAAAATAAAAACACTTTTTTATTTTAGATTAGGAGGGAAGGTGTTCGTCTTTTCTTACTATGGTTGCAAGCTCTTCAAAATAACTGTAGCAAAGAACAGCTCTGGATGTTTTCATGCTTAATCCCTGGATTTTCAGCACCACAATCTGAACATGGACCTAGAACTTTAGATAATCTCATTAATCCTCCACTTAACCTTCAAGAAAGTAAGTTCATGAGATGTTATCCTTCAGTATTTTTTTCCAGTGGTTTCTTAATGTATTTTTTAAATGTCTGTACATTTTATTAAATTAAATTCAAGGCGATGTTTTTTAATGTGAGTTTTATTATTATCAGAGTGTTGCAGATGAAGGCTAACAGATCACGGCAGGTATTGAAAACATATTTTATTACAGTTTCTAGGAGGAAGGGGCATTCCATGATATAGGGGGCCATGTGGGGAAGTACCAGGATCTATCAGAAGGCAGAGGAAATAGGACTGACTATATCTGGGCAAGGCCTTCTTTGTGATTCTGTGGGAAAGAACAGTCAAGCTGGAGTAAGCATGTTTAAGATTAGCTAATTGAATAATTTAAGTTTATTCTAGATATAGAGCTTGTCCATAGTTGTCTGGTACTTGGCCCTGGGGTGGGGTGAAGTATAGTGGTCTTGAGTGTTCAATGTAGAGGAAGTGGTGAAGGTGTGAACCCTGGATTGATTGGTTTGCATATGAAGGCACTGTCACAGCCTATAGTCATTTAATTATCTCTAGGACTTGTCTAGCTAGCCCTGGAAGGGACATTTTCTTCAGTTAGCAAGGCTTCAGATATATAAACATCAGAAACATGGTTAAAATAGACAATTGTAAGGTCTGGGGTGGTGGCTGAGAGGTCGAGCACTTGCCTAGCATGCATGAGGCACTGGGTTTCCTCCTCAGCACCACATAAAAATAACAATACTGTGTCCACCTATATCTAAAAAAATATTTAAAAAATAGACCATTTAACATTTATCTTTAATTTCTATTTCTTTTTTAGATTTTTTTTTTGTACCAGGGATTGAACCCATGGGTGCTTAACCACTGAGCCACATTCCCAGCCCTTTTTGTATATCATTTAGAGATAGGGTCTCACTGAGTTTGCTTAGGGCCTCACTAAGATTGCTGAGCCTGGCTTTGAACTTGTGATCCTCCCACCTCAGCCTCCTGCTGGAATCACAGGCATGTGCCACTGTGCCTGGCTTAATTTCTATTTCTTATTATCATCTTGTATCCTGGAGTTAATTTGGATATACTTAGAAGTATCAAGTGTGTTTTACTTTGTGCAATAGATGATATAAAAATGTGTCATATAAGTTGAATTTTTATAAATACTCAATAATATGTTTATTGTTAAATTTTAATTATGTACTTTTGTATATATTTATGTATTAATTTTTTAAGGGCCCCAGCCTTATAATACCATGTAACTTTAATTATGTCCTATAGTCTTTGTGCCACTGTGATCAATATACCCAATAAGAACAACTTAGAGGAGGAAAAGTTTATTTGGGGCTCACTGTTTTAGAGGTCTAGTCCATAGATGGGCCAAAAGTGAGGCAGCACATCACAAATGAAAGTGTGCAGAGGAAAATTGCTCACCTCTTGGCAGTCAGTAAGAAGAGGGCAGAAGGGAAGGGCCACAGGAAGATGTACCCTTCCAGGGCATGCCCCTAGTGACCCACTTCCTCCAATCACACCCCACCTGTATACAGTTAATACCCAGTCATTTAAATTAGATGGAATGATTAGGTTACAGTTCTCACAATCCAGTCACTACCTCTGACATTCCTGTGTTAACACAGGAGCTTTTGTTAATAAAGGAATATCATACCTGTATTAACACATCTCACATTCAAACCATAACAGGCCCCATCTCCAAATATAGTCACATTGATGGTAAGAATTTCAGCATATGAATTTTGGGGGTACACAGTTCAGTTCATAACAGGTGTTCTACTGGGTAATATTTGCAATTTGTATTTCTATAAATTGTAGGTTTTGTAGTAAAGCAAATTGTACCTGTAGCATAAAATTTTAGAAACAATGCCAAGTTGACCAAAAAAATCTATAAATGAACCAGCTCAAGTAGGCTATTTATGCCCGCTTATTTATATTATATGTTATTTTGAAATACTTAATAGATGTTTTATAATTGCTTTTTCTTCTGGATAACTGTAACCCTATCAGGATAGGTTTCCTTTCATTACTACTTTTTTTTTTTTTTTTTTAGTTTCAAATATGTTTGTGACTTTTACTCTCTCTCTTTGAGAATAGAAGTTTTGCTTTTTAGTCTGCAGGACATGGAAAATATGGAGACTCTATATGTGCCCTTAAAGAGACTAAGAGAACCTAATAGAAGAGGTCCAGTGTGTCTTAATGGGATTTTTATAGCTTCACAAAATAAAACATCATGAAGTGTATTCTTCTGTGGGGACAGGATAGTCCAGGAAATCCAAACAACAGATGATCAAGATTGTATTTTAAAAGAATAATTTTAAATAAGAGTTAGAAATACAATAGCATGTATTAAGAACTAGAAGCTATATAAGAAATTGTACTTTGTTGGCTAATGTTTACTGAGAGACATGTTTAGAGATCTACATGTGTTAAAGCAGGTTAATTGTGCTGCTTAGAAAATATTTAAGAGAATTCAGCTGATTTTTTTTACATTGGCTTTGTTAAAAATTTTTTTGAAGATCTGAAAAGTAAAAAAAAGTAAATAAGCACTATGCTTTTTATAAGTATAATTAGAATGTTACTTTAATGAATAAGTTAACAATATTGTTAATGTTTTCTCATCATTTAGTGATTCTAGATTATTTAATCTTATATTTCTCATCATATTGTGGGTTTTTGTAATGGACACTCCTAATGTGAATTTAAAATTATCAGAAGTTCATTCTCAAATGAGAGGTCATGTACTCTTAATCACTGCATATCTGTATTATTCAATCCTATGTTACATTCTGTCATCTAGAGTTCACAAAATGCCTGAATATTAAAGTTTATAGTTGTTGTGATGGACTGTTAGGATGACCTCAGAATGATTGACTTATGCTGCTCAGCAAATTAAACCTAGGACTTTGTGTATGTGAGGCAAGCGCTCTGCCATTGAGCTACACCCCTAGTCTTTGACCTCAGATTTATTTCAAGATTTCGTCATTGGAAAGTTTCAAGCAGTTTTTAAAATATACATGTTTTGCAGGTTAAATTTTATTTTGTCATATTATTGTATTATTAAATTTGTTTTATATGTATACTCTTGTCTTTTAGCTCAAGTCACTATAGAGGAAATCACTCCTCTTGTTCCCCCTCAATCAGGAGATAAAGGACAAGAAGACCTCACAAGCTATTTTCTTGAAGCACTTTTAAAATACATAGTAATTCAGGTATGTGTCATCTTCTTTGGTATCATCCTTTTTTTAAGCTCTCTTACCATTATTCTGTCTTAGTAGATATTTGCTTATTTTCTTGAAGACTGACAAATTTTTACTTTGGAAAATATGCATTAGTATCTCCTTCCCGAAATAAAAAAACTGGAGCGATTCTGAAACTCTTAGCTGATGAGGAAAATTTTAGTGACTATAGATTAGATCTATTTTCTAATGCCATCATTGATAATCAACAGTTGTGATACTGTAAATGAAAAGCTAATAACTGTTAGATTTAGGGATCAGTATGTTAAAATGTAACAATTAGGGAGGTAGGCTGCAGGATAGGAATTGGGAAGAAATGTAGTTTATACTTAAGCCTATTTATACCTTGGAATTTCTAAGCCCATATATTTTGTAAGATAACTTGTTCATCTCTAGATATGAATTGTGCATGTTCTGATTGAGAAAACTGTCTTTATCACATATATGTTTCTTATTACTTCCAAACTTAGAAATTCCCTGTACCTCAGAAACAAACGTTTAAAATTTAATTTGGATCCTGAGGTAGATTACCAGAGTTTGAATCCTGATTGCACATCTTACTAATAGCATGACCTTTGGAAAATTACTTAAATACTCTGTACTTTTGTTTTCCCATTTGTAAAACAGGGATAAAAAGAATCGTATTCCATTTTGGTGTTTGAGGCTTACATAGTACAAAGTGCTTAGAGTATAAAAAAGTAATTAGCACACAGTATATGTTCTATAGCAGATAGTTGTTATTATTATCATTATTATTACTAGTTTTTAAGAACTTTTATACTTCATATAGATTTTTTTAAATTGCCATGCTGGTTTATTGAGAGATGATTTAACTGTAAACTTTGACATTTAGGTTTACAATTGGATGAATTTTGTTACATGAAATTTTTACCACAAGAAGTGTTTTTGTCACCCTCTAAAAGTTTTTTGTCACAATAGATAGTTTGCATTTTCTTTATTTTCATATAAGTGGAATCATATAGTATGTATTCTTGGTTTGGTCTGCCTTTTTGTTAGCATAATCATTGTGAGAATCATCCATATTCTATTATCTATCTGTAGTTTGCTCCTTATTATTATTGTATAAACATCCATTATTAACACAGTATGACACAGTCCTCAGTCATTCTGTCACCTATTGACGGTCATTTGGGTTATCTTCAGTTTTTGTTTTACGACTAGTGGGGCCATACCTCCAACCCTACAGTTCAGGTTTTAAAAAATATATTCACAAGGTTAAGCAACCATCACTACAAATAATTTTAGAAAATTTTAGTCTTCCTAGTACAAAACCCCATTCCCATTAGAAATCAGTTCTCTTATCCTTTAGACCCTTGTGTCACCTGCCCTGGGCAAACACTGATCTATTTTTTGTCTTATGTATTTTTCTGTTCTTGACATTTCATATATAATAATATTACATATGATTAGTATATATAGTAATCATACTATATATGATCAAATTATGAAGTCAGTCTTTTTTGACTTCTTAGCAGATGTTTTCAGAATTCATCCATGTTATAGCATATATCGATACTTCATTCCTTTTATTATTAAATAATATTCTGCTGTATGGATATAGCACATTTTGTATATCTCTTCATCAATTGATGAATATTTGGTTGTTTCCTCTTTTTGGTCACTGTTGATATTTAGTCCATCATTACATTCTACATTCAATAGCTGGTAAAATACTGTCAGCAAAAGTTTCTCCTCTTCCCATTTTTTTAATCATGTTAATTATTTATCTCAATACAGGCTTATGTATTCATATGAATCACTGTGTTAGTATTCATTATCGTTGCTTATTTTGATGCTTATATTGTCCTAGATTTGGCCAATGGGAGTTTCTTTAATCTAACTTCTGTGTATTTTGAATTGTCCCCAGTATGCTTCCTTATATTCTAGCAGAGCAAGATATTTCACTCTCATCTTGTACCTTCCTTGCCCCATTCTGGAATCTTCTGTCTGTCCAAGGAGCCATAATTTATTTGGTGGTGAACTGCATTTAGCATCCAAGATCAGAGCATTCAGAATGTACATTGCTATTGCCATTTGGTGTTGCTACACCTAGATCCTATCAGTGGCTAGGATTAGAGAGTGTAAATACCTATTCACATACCCACATTTCTTCCTCCTCTTTTCCATTCTCCTTCTCTGAATTGAACTCAATACTTCACATTTTCAGATTTTGATCCAGTACCACTGAAGTCATTCTAGTTTCTCCTTTCCATATTTATAACTTTCTTTACTGTCAGTGAGAAACCTGACTCATATTATTCTCTGTATATTTACTTATTTTATCAGTCCTTCTTTTAGGTTATCAAATCTCTCATTACCACACTGCCTTGCTCAAAGACCTTCTCAGCTTGATTGGGCTCCACTACTCTATTCTGGGCCTTTGATAGCACTCTACTTATCTTCCTCACCCTATTAGAGTTATACACCAGACTGCATAGTTAATACTATTTTTATCCCCTCTTGCCCCCCTCCTCCCATTTCATGGACATTCTCCTTACATTTCTCAGGCTCTAAGTCTCTAAGTCTCCACTGGGTTACTGCCTTTGCTACATCTCTTTCATGTGTACTCTGCTTCCTATGTTCAGCGCTGATTATCTGCACTTGACTATTCCCACTGCTTACATACACATATACACACCTACAGCCACACATGCCTATTTTGTATGCCTTTAACCTTTGTCTTGAATTATTCAGGAAGGGGCAGAGGAGAAAGAACATTAGTATCTTTATCATTAGTAGACCCTACTTTTGAGTTTTTCAGTGCATATTTTACTTCTAAGGTTTCTTTGAAATATGATATATTTGTATATTGGACCAATTTAAGATTTTACCTTTTGCTATATATTATGATCTTCACAGTATTAATAGTTCAGTAAATTGTAACCTTTTATAAACTTGCTTCTAGTGGCTAACAATTAGATTTAAGGGACTCTGTCTACTGGGATATTCTAATTATATTGTTTATTTTTAGGTAAAAAGTTTAGAATGGAAGAACAAAGAAAATCAAGAAAGGGGATTTTCATTTTTGTTTTCACATTTTAAAAAATATTACTTGCCTTATATTTTTCCAAACATCTGCAAGGAGAACAGTTTATATCATCCTGTACTTGGTAGGTAGTGTTTGAAATTTTCCAAAAGATTGCATTGCATAAGAATAAAATATCTCTAAGTACAATGTTGGCATTTGTTACTTTTAGAAAACTGACCTCATTTACTATTTGTATTGGTTTATAGAGATACTATACCCAGATTCATGCTGAAAGTAAATCTATATTAATATGAATATGTTTGGTATGATCCTTAGACTATATTCCAAATTTTCTTCTTAAAATCCTTCAAGGGTTCAATCAAGTATTAGTCTTACTTGAATTCTGTATGAATAATCACATTGTTGTATATTTTGGTCATATCTTGTCCAATAATGAAGAATTTTGCCAAGATATCTGTCAGAGCCTTGAAGCAGAATCTTATAGACAAATCCTAATTTAGAAACACACCTTTGCCATATACCAAAGGCATTGGTAATCTGTATGTAGAAATGTCTTTTTTTGGGAAAAGATGTTCCTTAATGCCACATTTAGGTAATTAACATGCTCAGGTAAAACCTCATACTTTGTATGACTTCAGAATATTGTGTTTCAGTCTTAGGTTAAGTAAAGTAAACTCTCATTTATTTTACATGGTTCTGGAAGTATCTTTGTACTTAGGCAAGATTCATTGAACTTTTTGATGATATTTTGCAAAAAAAACATGTTTCCATATATCAGCCTGTTATATATAGTTTCCCCCTCTGGGTTCCATGCTAGCATTTAGCAAATTTTAACATGCTTTGAAAAGTTAAATAAATAAATAAAACAACTTCTAAAACCAGAGAAGCAGTCCAGTGTTTTCTCAAATGCTTAAAAATGTAGGCTTATCTAAGCATAATTCTTTTTCTATCATTTTGCTTAGATATCCCACAGATGAGACCAAAGCCACATTATATCATGATAAAGAAGGATGCTGAAACCAATGAAGCTATCTATTGTACAAAGGAGCCTTTCATTAAAGCTCGTGTTATTGTCATTCGTTGGCTAGTTTCTTTCTGGTTGGAGCCAAAACCACATACAGGACCTCATATTCCTGGGATGGAAGGTGAAGTCTTACCAAAGAATATTCAGGTAATAAACAAATGAGAGAAATTTGTTAAAATTAGAAATGGCTCTTATGATTTAGTTCACTAATTTCAATTGCCTCGGGTATACAGCACATTTTAAACAAATAATATTGATATTTCATTTGTATAAATATATCCTGTAAATACAAATTTTAACAGTTATTATAGAAGTAATATTTATTTAATAAGAAATAAAACTTGGGTAACATAGAACATAATTTTAGTTGAGTCTCAGTTTCAGCTTCTGATTTACTTCTGTATTTACTTTAGTGCTACAATAGTCCCCTCTTACCACAGGGAATACATTCCATGACCCTCAGTTGATTCCTGAAATTATAGATAGTACTGAACCCTGTATCTGCTATGTTTTTTTTTTCCATGTTCATCCATACTTATGATAAAGTTTAATTTATAAATTAGATACAGTAAGAGATTAATAACTATAATAATAATAAAACAAAACATTTATAACCATGTTATATAATAAAAGTTATTTAAAGCTTATGAATTATTTCTGAAATTTCTACTTGATACTTTCAGACCATGGTTGAGAGGGTTACTAAAATCATGAAAAGCTAAACAACATATAAGGAAGGACTACTATATATAGTATTAAAAATATTCTGAATTGTAGAAATAAATTCTTTCAAGTGGAAAGAACTACAGTCAAATGGTAGGACCATGATAACCCTTTTTAAATTCTAGGCATTCACAGAATGCAGATTTTTAAAGTCCTATCCCCACCCTTTCCCCATTTTTCAACAAAAACACGAGTCTAGAAATGTGATAAAAAAATTAGACAACTCTACAATGGAAGAATGGATATTTAGATTTCTGTTTTTTGTTTTTTTTTAATAATTAAACAGTTTACCTCTTTTTCATATTTCTTTTTTGTGTTCTCTTTTCTTTCTTCGGTGTTATCTCAACTTGTCTATATTATGGTATTTTTACGATTATTTCCTTTTCTCAGATTTCTGTGTTGAATTTTTAAGGGGGTAGTATACCATGTAGACTTCCACAAATGGAACAAAAGCCAAATTTTCTGAACTCTAATGAACACACTTTATACTTCCAACCTATTTTGGGGGGCTGGGGGTGTGGCTCAAGTGGTAGTGCGCTTGCCTGGCATGTGCGGGGCGCTGGGTTCGATCCTCAGCACCACATAAAAATAAAATAAAGACGTTGTGTCCACCGAAAACTAAAAAATAAATATTAAAAAATTCTCTCTCTCTCTTAAAAAAAAAAAACTTTGTTTCAAATCCTCTAGAAAGAATTATTAAATGCAAAGACTCTGAGGCAGAACTATTTTTCTTGTCCCAGAAAATTATAGACTTTATTGATTTTGAAGGCGTATTTAACCCATTAAGTCATGTTTTCAAATCTGCAAATATTTCAAGGAAGTTGCCACAGGTATATTAAAATAGGTAATGTAGTTTATTATATGATTTATTATCACTAATATTAATGATGTCATTAATAGTATTTTGTCATTAATAATAATAGTGACTATTATCAATAGATTAGAACTCTAAAAAAATAAATATTTATCAGAGTTAAATAGTATATTTGTTGCTCAATTTTTTTTTTTTTTTTAGGTTTTCCATGAAAGGAATGATGGGACATAATGGGTTAAGAAGGCATATTTAAACTTTCTTATTTTATGGATAACAAACCAAAACCAAAAATTGAATATCTTAGCAGAAAGTAATATACATTATCAGAATAGTGCAATGGCTACCATATAATAGTGGTAATTTACTTATTACCATTTCAACAGTTTTGCTCTTTTTTTTTTTTTTAAGAGTTAAGCTTAATCTTCAATCTTGGTGAAAATTGTTATTAAAATATAGAATTTGGGCTGGGGATATAGTTCAGTTGGTAAAGTGCTTGCCTCACATGTACAAGTCCCTGGGTTCAATCTACAGCACCACAAAAAAAAAAAAAGAATTTTTCTCAAATGTTCCTAGATTTTTGTTTAGTTTTATTTGTACTTTTTTCTGTCATAAATTTTGTTTCCTTCCTTATTTGTTTTGTTCACTTTAGAATTTTTTTTTTAAATTAAAGCATCATTCAGTAAATAGTCCAGGGTTACTACTTCTGAGTTATTATTCTCCAAGACCTTAAGCTTCCTCTGTTTACATTATTCTTTCACATGCTTTAACTAGTAGCTTGTTTGAATTACTTAAATTTAATTATACTTAGGTAGATGATCAGTTACTACACATTTTGGAGTTTCTCTGTGTTACTTGGATGTTGAATTACTTGTAATGCCACTTAAGTATTTAGAATGGATTCTAAATGAAACTGTATGATTGCATTTTAAACAGTGGTATAAGCTACTTGTAGAATGCTTTGGATTCTTCTAGTATTTCCTAAAAACCATATTCCCAGATATATGATTATGACATTCTTTCCCTTTTGTTTTTATTTTAGAGAGCAGCTGCTAGTTTGGTATCCAGAGAAGAAAACAAAAATGATAATGCTGATAAAGCAGACAGAACTACAGAACCAGAACAATCTCATTCTAATACAAGCACTCTCACAGAACGAGAACCTAGCTCATCAAGTCTCTGTAGCATTGATGAAGAACATCTCACAGACATTGAAATAGTTCGCAGAGTTTTTTCTTCTAAAAGAAGTAATGTAAACTTTGTAACAGAGATATTTCGTCAGGTAAAATGCTGAGGTTTTTTGTTTTGTTTTTGGGTACCAGGGATTAAACTCAGGAGCACTCAACTACTGGGCCACATCCCCAGCGCTTTTAATATTTTATTCAGAGACAGGGTCTCACTGAGTTACTTAGTGCCTCATTAAGTTGCTGACACTGGCTTTGAACTCCTGCCTCATCCTCCTGAGCCACTGGGATTACAGGCATGTGCCACCACACCTGGCGCCTCTCTGTATTTTTAAGTTGTAATAAAGACTTTAATATTGTATATACTGAGTTTTAGTTATTTAAAATTTATTCTTTATGAAGGTGTTTTTTAAAGTTCATATTTAGTTTTTTAAACTTAGATCTAATCCTTTAATGTTTTCCATTTACTTTAAAAAAATTTTTTTTAGTTGTAGTCGGTATAATATCTTTATTTATTTATTTATTTTTATGTGGTGCTGAGGATCAAACCAGTACCTCACACATGCAAGGCAAGTGCTCTACCATTGAGCTACAGTCCCAGCCCCCCCATTTAATTTTTATGTATTTTAGTTAAATAACTTTTTCAGGTCCTCATGCATGCTAAGCGCTTTTTTCCCCCCTCAAAGTTCTTCTGTTTTTTGTTTGTTTGTTTTTTAGTGCTATTGATTAAACTCAGATAAAGCAGACAGGCATTTGATTTATTAGTCAAATGCTTTATGACAGTGCTATATCCTCAACTCCAGAATAATTTTTCAAATTTCTCACTTATGGATTGAAACTTTCTGTAATTTGACTAATAATTTATAAAGAATTTGTTTTATCTTCTTTTCTATGATCAATACAAGGTAACTTATGAATATAACTGATATTCCATTGCTTTTATCCTGCTTTCATAGGTTCATGGTTTGGTTTGGTTTGGTTTTTGTGCTGGTGATTCAAGCCCGGGGTGCTTTACCACTGAGCTGTATTCCCAACCCTTTTTATTTTATTTTTTTTTAAAATTTTGAAATGGTGTGTCACTTAAGTTGCTAAGCATCACACTATGTTGCCCAAATTGGCCTTGAATTTGTAATCCTCTTGCCTCAGGCTTTTAAGTCACTGGGATTACAGGCATAAGGTTGTAATCACTGGGATTACAGGCATTCCCTGCCATAGGTTCACCTTTGTCCTCTATAGAGCATTCTGAAATTAAAGTTGATTAAGAAAAATATTACTTGGGGGTGGGACAGGGAGAAAGAAAGAGGAAAGATTTTAAACAGCTAGTTCACATAAAGGTACCTGGAAATTCCAGAGTGTACATTCTCAGCACATAGAAGTTTGTGGAAAATAAACCCTATGATTTAGTTCCCAGAGTTTTTGAAACCCTAGATTCAATTCCCAGCATGGAAAAACCACCCCCAAAACTCACTGTTCTTTATAGTAAAAGTATTTAACTTTTTCAGGTAAACATTATTGAGTTTTGTAGCTAGGATGTAATTCAAGTCGTAAAACATGTTAAGTGGTAGATGTGGACTAAAACATCCAGATCCTGATTCTTACAGTTGTCTGCAAAAACTTATTGAATGATTCAGGTTTTCCAGTTCTTGAGTCAGTTTGATCTCAATAGTTTTTCTAGGAATTTGTTTATTACATTTATTTAGGTTTATTATATTCTCTAACAATCTCAGAAGCATTTATATTCATGTTCTTCCTTTTCATTCCCATTAGTATCTATTTGTCTCTTTTTAAAAAATATTTGTCTGTTGTTTCTGTTTCTTTTAGGTGATATTTACTCAGGAATTTGTTGTTTTATTAATCTTTTCAAACAATGAACTTTTGGCTTTGATTGATTCTCTGTGTATTATATTTTTTCTTTAATTAATTTTTTTCCTTCATTAGTTCTTTTGATTGTATTGGTGGTTCTTTTCCTAGGTTATTAATTTTTAGACTTCATTTTTTTCTCATGTAAATAATTTTTAAGGTATTAAATTACTTCTTAATGTATTTTTAGCTGCATTTTAAATATCTTTAGGTGGAGTTTTCTTTCTTCTTTTTTTGGTGTGTGTGCTACTAGGGATTGAACCCAGGGCTTTGCACATGCTAAGCAAATGTGTAACCACTGAGTTATATCCCCAGTTATTTTTACATTTTTATTTTAAGACAGGGTCTTATGATTCTCTACCTTAGCCTCCCAAGTAGCTGAGATTATAGACATGCACCTCCACGCTTAGCTGTATGTAGCATTTTTTTGTAATTGCTAAGTCCTAAATATTTTCTTATTTTCATGATGATACCTTCTTTGACCTATGAGTTATTTAGAAGTATTTATCTTCCAAACATTAGATTTTTCTAGTAGATCGTGGTGGCACATACCTGTAATCCCAGAACTCAGAAGGGCTGAGGCAGCAGAATTGCAAGTTTCAAAGCTAGTCTCAGCAATTTATGGAGACTCTAAGCAATTTATTTTATTTTTTTTTCTTTAATTTTATTGTTGGTTGTTCAAAACATTACATAGTTCTTGACAAATCATATTTCACACTTTGATTCAAGTGGGTTATGAACTCCCATTTTTACCCCGTATACAGATTGCAGCATCACATCGGTTACACATCCACTGTTTTACATATTGCTATACTAGTGTCTCTTGTATTCTGCTGCCTTTCCTATCCTCTACTATCCCCCATCCCCTCCCCTCCCATCTTCTCTCTCTACCCCATCTACTGTAATTCATTTCTCACCCTTGGGTTTTTTTTCCCCTTTCACCTCACTTCCTCTTGTATGTAATTTTGTATAACCATGAGGGTCTCCTTCCATTTCCATGCAATTTCCCTTCTCTTTCCTTTTCCCTCCCACCTCTCACCCCTGTTTAATGTTAATCTTCTTCTCATGCTCTTCCTCCCAACTCTGTTCTTAGTTACTCTCCTTATATCAAAGAAAACATTTGGCAATTTTTTTTAGGGATTGGCTAGCTTCACTTAGCATAATCTGCTCTAATGTCATCCATTTCCCTGCAAATTCTATGATTTTGTCATTTTTTAATGCAGAGTAATACTCCATTGTGTATAACTGCCACATTTTTTTTATCCATTCGTCTATTGAAGGGCATCTAGGTTGGTTCCACAGTCTTGCTATTGTGAATTGTGCTGCTATGAACATTGATGTAGCAGTGTCCCTGTAGCATGCTCTTTTTAGGTCTTTAGGGAATAGACGGAGAAGGGGAATAGCTGGGTCAAATGGTGGTTCCATTCCCAGCTTTCCAAGAAATCTCCATACTGCTTTCCAAATTGGCTGCACCAATTTGCAGTCCCACCAGCAATGTACAAGTGTACCCTTTTCCCCACATCCTCGCCAGCACTTGTTGTTGTTTGACTTCATAATGGCTGCCAATCTTACTGGAGTGAGATGGTATCTTAGGGTGGTTTTGATTTGCATTTCTCTGACTGCTAGAGATGGTGAGCATTTTTTCATGTACTTGTTGATTGATTGTATGTCCTCCTCTGAGAAGTGTCTGTTCAGATCCTTGGCCCATTTGTTGATTGGGTTATTCGTTTTCTTATTGTTTAATTTTTTGAGTTCTTTGTATACTCTGGATATTAGGGCTCTATCTGAAGTGTGAGGAGTAAAGATTTGTTCCCAGGATGTAGGCTCCCTATTTACCTCTCTTATTGTTTCTTTTGCTGAGAAAAAACTTTTTAGTTTGAGTAAGTCCCATTTGTTGATTCTAGTTATTAACTCTTGTGCTATGGGTGTCCTTTTGAGGAATTTGGAGCCCGACCCCACAGTATGTAGATCGTAGCCAACTTTTTCTTGTATCAGACGGCGTGTCTCTGATTTGATATCAAGCTCCTTGATCCATTTTGAGTTAACTTTTGTGCATGGCGAGAGAAAGGGATTCAGTTTCATTTTGTTGCATATGGATTTCCATTTTCCCAGCACCATTTGTTGAAGATGCTATCCTTCCTCCATTTCATGCTTTTAGCCCCTTTATCAAATATAAGATAGTTGTAGTTTTGTGGATTGGTTTCTGTGTCCTCTATTCTGTACCATTGGTCCACCTGCCTGTTTTGGTACCAGTACCATGCTGTTTTTGTTACTGTTGCTCTGTAGTATAGTTTGAGGTCTGGTATCGCTATACCGCCTGATTCACACTTCCTGCTTAGAGTTGTTTTTGCTATTCTGGGTCTTTTATTTTTCCATATGAATTTCATAATTGCTTTATCTATTTCTACAAGAAATGCTGTTGGGATTTTGATGGGCATTGCATTAAACCTATAGAGAACTTTTGGTAATATCGCCATTTTGATGATGTTAGTTCTGCCTATCCATGAACAGGATATATTTTTCCGTCTTCTAAGATATTCCTCTATTTCTCTCTTTAGGGTTCTGTAGTTTTCATTGTATAAGTGTTTCACCTCTTTTGTTAGGTTGATTCCCAAGTACTTTATTTTTTTTCAGGATATTGTGAATGGAGTGGTTGTCCTCATTTCCATTTCAGAGGATTTGTCGCTGATATACAGGAATGCCTTTGATTTATGCGTGTTGATTTTATAGCCTGCCACTTTGCTGAATTCATTTATTAGCTCTAATAGTTTCTTTGTAGAGCCTTTTGGGTCTGCTAGGTATAGAATCATATCATCTGCAAATAGTGATAATTTAAGTTCTTCTTTTCCTATTTTTATGCCTTTAATTTCTTTCGTCTGTCTAATTGCTCTGGCCAGTGTTTCGAGAACTATGTTGAACAGAAGTGGTGAGAGAGGGCATCCCTGTCTTGTTCCAGATTTTAGAGGGAATGCCTTCAATTTTTCTCCATTCAGAATGATGCTAGCCTGAGGCTTAGCATAGATTGCTTTTACAATATTGAGGTATGTTCCTGTTATCCCTAGTTTTTCTAGAGTTTTGAACATAAAGGGATGCTGTACTTTGTCGAATGCTTTTTCCGCATCTATCGAGATGATCATATGGTTCTTATTTTTAAGTCTATTGATGTGGTGAATAACATTTATTGATTTCCGTATATTGAACCAGCCTTGCATCCCAGGGATGAATCCTACTTGATCAT